CCAAAATCCTTATTCATCCTTAGAATTTTTAATAGAACAAAAAAAAGTTTATTGGCCAACGTAAGCTTGTTCGCAACATCAGGATTAGTAACAAAAACTACTTTTATTAGGCTTAGACTTAGGTTTAACTCGATGCAGAGGTATTGGATCGGAATGATAGTTACACCATTCGAAGGCCCTTGAAACTGCGAATTTGCCACAATTTTAAAAACGTTTTTCATCGCAACGCGCCAGTTTACATCTCATTTAAAAACATTAAGGAAGGCGTCTGCACCTATTTAAAGGCCACCTCCGGTCATTTTGTTTGTAGAAATTAGGCAAATTTTCTCGTATTCAATCTTGGAAAACCGCTAAATTTTGCTAAATGGCTTGTAAAATAACGTATTTAAATAAAAACATGGTTTTGAAAATTGTTGCAAGCTCGCCTTTTGAGGGCTTTCAATGCTGTAACTACCATTCCGATCCGATACTACTGCTTTGAGTCAGAGGGGGTATGTTTTTTTTTTGTTGGGACACCCTGTATGTCCCATTTTATGATATTTTGGAAAGCCATCACGGCTCCCTACACAATCCCGCCAACTTTCCCTCAACCCCCACCGATTAATCTTATGATCCGAAAAATGCGGCGCCTGATCTGTCCCCCCCCCACCCATCCAGCAGCGATTGGCCGAGGTGGTGATCTTATGACCGGCTCGAGAGGAGCGCCAGAAATCGGATCGTTTGGCGAGCCGGGGGCTAGCTGTTCCTGCTGTACAGGCGCCGAGCTTGGCAGTACGGTAGCGCGCGAAAATGGAGAACTTGGCACGAACCTTGTCCTTCATTTATTGGCCTTATCATCAGGGTTTTTACTATTGTTCTACCCAGTAAAATTATGCCTAATTCAAAATAGGCATATTTACCCACCGGCTGCCCAAAATCCTTATTCATCCTTAGAATTTTTACTGGAACAAAATAAGTTTATTGGCCAAGCAGGGCTTCCTTTCTGGTTCGTAACATCCGGAGTATTAACAAAAAAACTATTTCTAAGTTGTCTTAGGTTTACTCCCCCCCCACCGCTAAGGAGCCAGTACCAACCCGTCTTCTGCGTTGATTTGTTTCTAAATTTGCAAAAAAAGTTTAGACGTCTAAACACAGCAACAATATACTTTAAGTAAGCCACAAGATTTTTTATTTCTTTCTGAGTTTTGGACTTCCAAAATTTTTAGAATCAACCAATTTTTTTTGACACGCTATTTGACTTGATCACGTTCCTTATGATTTATTGCAATGTATAAATCTTTTCCATTAAAAATAAACTTATTTCCTCCCCGGCTACCCAAAACATTATCAATTTTTCCGTAATTTTTGACGTTTGTCAATGTAACAAAATCGAGGGATTTTGACGGCCTATCTTTTCGACTTTATTAAGGCTTTTACTAATTGTCTTACACGGTAGAATTTTCCCCAATTAAGAATAAAAGGTTTACTTACCGGCTGCCCAAAATCCTTATTCATCCGCAGCGTTTTCACTAAAATTAATAAGTTTAATACGATCTATTAAAACCAACTTACAACATTGCACCCCGATCGCCAGAATGCTGAGCGCAGTAAAGTATCGTAGAAATGCCATCCGTCAGCTGGTACCGTACCCCCGACCATCATGCCTATATATACAAGTCAGTTGGCGAGTGGCAGAATCGAAATGATAAATCATGGAGGGCGAAATATGATGCGAATCAGAAGAGGAATCGCTTTGAGGTGTCAAAGTTGACGGAGCGGATCAAAGCCGGCCGTGGCTCGTTTGTTCAGACGCGGATCGAAAAATCGCTTCTCCGGATGCCAAATGAGCGCATGGTGCCGGGGCAGGCTGCTGGCTGGGCTTGTTGAGTCTCCGAGTTACGGTAGCTATAGCCACAATGCAGATATTTCTTCTCTTACGGCTTAATTACTAAAATTTGGTAGGTGAATAGGTAAGTAGTTTTGGTAGTTCTATTTATTTTACTATATTAAAACGAAGCGACTTTCATCGTATTTTTGAGGTCTGATTAAAAAATGCTTCGGCTGCTGGCCGCAATTTTATCAAGCTGGCTCAAGCTCGAGATCTCAAGTTTTCTGAAGCGCGCTACTCTTTTTCCGAAGTAAGCCAGCTGAAAGATGAATAAGAGAAGGCGGTAATACCCAAAAACAATGCTTTCATTTTTGGCGTTTTTTAGGAAATCTACATGTTTCTAAAATAGGGTCTAGTCAAGTCACACATAATTCGGCATAGATGTTTTTTCCAGTATGGCTCGATCCCCAAATATCTTAGTCAATATTTTAGCCGCTCAACTTTGCAAAAAGACAGTCAAATCCAGATGGGAATTTCGCGCTGACAATTCTCTAACACGATGAAATAGCTAATTTAACATAAAACTTTACAAATAGGAGCCACCGAGGAAATACCTCATTCGTAGGCCTGGCATAAAACTTACGGCATTCAGAAACTACGCTGTACCAAATAGCTGCTAATTATCCTATGTGAGCCAGGCGTGCGTGAAACCACCGATCCAACGTTCGCCGAGGCGAAAACTCTGTCCCTAACTTTTGTAGAACAAAATTTTTGTGTTTCTGGAGCCCATACGCTATGCCCGGGGTACTGTAGTCGGACGCGCGGATTTAAGAAAGATCTGGTTTCAAAAGTTTTTCCATAATATGAGCTAGGCTTCCATGGGGTTATCGTTAAATCAAAGCCGCAAAAAATGATCCGAGAGCCAAATTCCTTTTAAGGCGCTTTGCGACGGAGGTCGTGGAGCTTAGGCACCGTTTAGGAAAAATATTTTTTTCCTTAATTAAATCTGTCGCTACAAATTCAAATTGTTTTAGTCATAAGTAATAATACGCAAGAGCAACAACCACTATCGGGATCATCCGGGATGATAGCGATAACGGACACGCGCATCCATTTCCTGTCCGGCAAGAACGGTGCCCACACCCTTCTATCGAGATCGCCAAGTTCTACCGTGGCTATCTTATCGTCGCTGGGCAAGTATCAAAAAAAGATTCGACGAGCTTGAATAGGTGTGAAGTTCCTATCATGCTATGCTATGTTTGATGCCATGCGTGATGCTTGGCACCATTTTGGTGAATGCGGAAGCTTACGTCCAGGCTTGGGCTTTTGCTTAGGCTTCGGCTCACGCTAAACTTAGGATAGGGCTTGGCTTAGGCGTAGGCTTTGCCTTACAAGTCAGACAAGTAGTTCTAGGTGCTTGCGGAATTTTTCGACCTAAAATAGCTCAATAGAGAGAGCCTGAAATTGAATTTTCCAAATAAACCCATTTTCCAAAAAAAAACGTTGAATGACAAGAGTCTGGGGAAAGTCAAAGTTGCGATCGTTTTTACAAAAAAAATGAGCTTCCGAGTAAGTGGTCTGTGATTCTTCAATACGGTAGTCGTTCAGAAGATTTCTTCGCCATTACTATCTCTATCGAATGAGCTATGCCACTTCAACTTTCAAAAACACCGGAAAAAACACTACTTGTGATTTTTAAACTTTTTTTTTACAGCGCCGTCTTTTATTGACACGATTGCAGGGGTATCTTAAATTCGACGGGATTTTTTTTTGTAAGGCTTCAAAAGTTGAATAAATATTTGAGCAAGCTGATTGGTCGCCTCACATTGACAGTACAAAGAGAAAAAAAAGATAGTATATCAACAAAATGAAACCAAGCCAGAAGATTTGGGTCAGAAAATTGGGGCGTAAATAGGAGCTTCGTTTGCGTGAATGTGATTTTAGTTTCCTTTTGAACTCCTAGGTTCCAAAGATTTCTAGTTTTTTTACAAAATCTAGAACGCTGCTGAAAGAGGGCTGTTTTTGAAAAAAATTGCTGATATAACGATGGCACAGATGTTTCGCTGTAGTTTGGTAAACAGAAAAGATTCTAGATACCGTCTCCCCCGGGGGCTACTACGGTGTGCCGGGGCGATGAATCGATGTAGTCGGTGATTGATGCATGATGATAGTTTCCATCCAGATGTGATGATAACCAAACGTCAAGTACAAAGCCGTGCAGACCACGCTGGAATTGTCATCCACGACCGGGGAACCGACCACCATGACACAAGACGCACACCTGGATGTCATGCAAGCGTCGCCGGAAAAAATTAGCCGAATACGTCACGTATTTGAAAGCAACTGAAAACAAAGACATCCGCGATGTTGGTGCTCGAAAAACAAAAAAAAAGTTTAGAGTAATTCTCGAACAGTTTGAAAAATTTCAGTTTTTCTAAAATTCTAAGCTGGTTTTCTGATCGTCTTTCCATCGGAAAATGGCTTTTGAGCTCATATTGTCGTCAAAGGTCATTCGAACATCAAATAAACAAAAAATAACTTTTAAGAAGTTTGTTGCATTTCAATTTTCAACATTTTCAGATCTTGACACTTCCAATCCGTTTACTACCCGTATTTATGCCCGAAAATGGCTTATGAAGGTCAGATTGCCAAAGTCTATCCAAAAATAAAAGAAATAAGTGAAAAATTAAATTCTTGAAAGTTTTCGGCGTTCAAGATAAAAAAAAGAAGCTTAGCATGCTTCACGTAAATCAAATGAAGAAAGCGATACTGAATTTTATCGTTTTTGTCGCTGCAGATTTTCATAACTTTTTAATGTTAAAAGACCATTTTATCGGTTTACCTACAATGATAAGTTCCGTTGTTACCCCTACACAGCCCCTCTTTCGCGCGCCCTCGGCAACCGCTTACGCGCGGAAATCTCGGCCCAACATTTTTTTCAGGGTCTTACTTTATTGGTTTGTTTATCAATTTCCCTTATTTGAATCAAAATTAAGTAAAAAAATTCCATTCAGGTTGATGGTGGCCTGTCAACCATCGACTTCGCTAGACGCCGTGCTTCTCGAATTGACCGCTTCCTGTAAAAATACGCCAAATGATGGAGAAATCGTGACAGCGGCCAGTAGTGGGATCAAGAAAGCGCTGGATATAAGTCGCGCTAGGTATACAAGCTTGAAAAAATGTATTTCTTTAGTGCTCAACCGCTCGGCAACGATGCACAAGATGCCGTCCTAAATTTTGTGTGGAAATACTGGGATTTTATTGTTGATAAGGTTTGCTTAAAAAACCCGCTACTTAAGTGCTGGCCCCACTATATTCGCCAAAACCTCATGTTTCCGGGCTAGTTTTTTGCGCTGATTACGAAAACACTATCCAGCCCGCGAAAATGCTATTTAGGAAAAATTAATTTGAATATCGGGAAAATTCCATTTACGGCGCTTGCGAAAAACTCGTATTTTTGTGGGTTTTTAACTAAATAAATAACCAAAAACTGGTTTACCAAGAAAAATAGCTTGTAGCATTGTCAGGAAGGCGGGCCGTCGCTTCGGATGGGCTGCCCTCACTCTTTCGAAATCGGGGCGCCTGGCCGCCGCCCTCGGCGCCCCGATTTCGAAACCCTTACGAGCCGACCCATCCGAAGCGACTAGGCCCGGTGGCACGAAGCCATTTTTAGGAAAACGAACGCAAAGGATAAGCGTTCTTGGAAATAGGTTTTCCCCATTTTATAGGCCCCCACTTCCACGCCCTAGTTAACCCCTTGAAACTCAAACCATGAAAACTGACAATGGAATTTGTTTTCCCTTCAAACACAACTTTCACGTTTCGGGATAGTGTTTTCGTAATCAGCGCAAAAACTGCCCGGAACATGAGGTTTTGGCGAAATATAAGGGGGCCAGCAAACTAATAGCGCCAAGTAACCTCAGCATAGAACGTTTAGGTTTGCTACGATTGCGCCGATGTGTTAATCCGGCTTATCGAGCTTCATCTCTCGACTTGTGGGGCCTGTAGCGCTGTCGAAAAGTGCAAATGGGTCCGCGGGATGTTCAACGAGCTCTTTTCAAGCCCGGTGTCTTGCAAGGCGCGCTACAAAGCCATAGTAAGAAAATAGAAATCAATTTTTATCTAGTTTTAGGTTGCTTTATATGCCTTACTGCCCAACGAAGTAGCCCAACGATTCAACCAGCCCTTTATGGATGTGTTGTACGCGAAAATGGGCAGCTTCACCCTTTCCGTCGTGCTCAGCGAGTTGATATGCGCGGATTTGGAGGCGAGGAGAGATGAGCGAAATTGGGATTACCATGTGAAATCGATGGTGGGTTTTTTGAAAACGTAATCGAGAATTTTGAGGGTTTTCTAGATAAATTTGCTGTCGGCAGGACCTGGTCATTGCTCCCCCCTGGATCGACTGCTGCCCCGTATTATGAAAAATCCGCTTTTACGAATCGGTTTTGTGGATAAATTAATGGATGCTGTAAAAGGTATTTGGTTTAACTTTTTGCTCAAAAAACGTAAAATTTTAGACCAAATTTCAACAGCGTCTACCTCGGCCACCGCCGATTTTCTCGTCGGGCGGATGGCGTTGGCGAAGTTTGTCGTTTTCACGAGAACCACTTGTCAATGGCGTGATTTTGTGGTGAGAGAGGAAATGGCTCGAGCATTGTTGCATGTGAATGTCCAGGTACGTTATAACAATTTGAAAATTCAGGAATCTGGCATGTTTTAGGTCCGCCTAACCGCCTTGTCGCTTCTGTGCGAGCACCCAAAGCGAACGCTGTTTATCGAGCTCGAAGATTGTGAATTGGCGCTTGCGTATATCGAGTCCAACATGACCGAACAGGAGCCGTCGAATCGTCAGAAAATTTTGGCCAGTTTGAAAAAGGTAGAGTTTTCAGTTCAGGATCAAAAAAAATATGAAATTTCAGTTCCTAATGCGCCTCTGCGACGTTGCCGATCAAATTTCGAAGAAACCTGGCGAAACTGGGCCTATTGTCGGGTATTCCGATTTTTTGAGAAGATTAGCAGCGTTGACAATCGAGTCAATTAAGCCAGGTATTTGGTCTTCAAAAGCTAAAGAAAAAGTGTAGGTGCCAATTTCTCGCGGCGAATCATGGCGCTGTCGATCCTTGATTTATTGTACAAGGACGAGGTGCTGAATTTAGATGGAAAAGGTTAGGCAATAGCTAAAAACTAATTAGTGGGCTTTAGAAACACTTCGCTCGCACGCCCATCTCGAGGATTTGTTAACGGAAGATCTACGAGCTTTGCTGATCGGTTGCTTCGACGATTCCTTCCAAATTTGCCAAAAAGAAGCACTCAGGCTGCTTCAGACACTGAAATTCCCGGAGAATTTTGTGGGTCAATGCCATAAATGTTTAATCGGAATTTTTTAGGACTTCGATAGCTTCATCGCGGTCACCGAGTCACAACTGGATTCGCTACGCTCTCATGATTCACTATCGCTTAGCTACAGGCTACGCTACTACGCGGCAAAACGACCAAACGATGTGGCCGGGCTGTTGGAAAGGTTTGTAATAATAAGCAAATTTTTGATTTCTTTAGGCTGATCAAAAAGGTTCTCGCAAGCTGTGAAGCCCTCGACAAAGAGAGCTTGATCGCCATTTCCTACCGACTGCTCCACCCGACGTTGAGCTCTATCGCTCTTTTGCTCGAGCCAAAGCCGGCCATAGCTCCAGAAATCTGGTCGACTCAAATATTGCCAATGTGCTTCCGGGCAGCTAATTTAGTGAGTGCGTTTTTCCCGTTAGGAGTACTGTTTTAGGTTCGTCCCGTAGTCCATGATTTGTCACCGGAAGGCTATGTCCCCCGAGGAGTTGTTGCCAAAAATTGGTAAAATTCGCGCCGAAAATTAGATTAATTAAATTTTAGATAACACCACCGGTGAATGCCTTGCGCCCCAAGTCTCCCAGACGCTAGTGGCCTGCTGCTGGCGCGCCCACAAGCAAATCAGCACGATTTTGTCGTTGGCGGCTGGACAAGTGGATTTTAGGAGGGAATTGCTTTAAAAAGCGTAACTTTAGTTAGAAGTACGACCGCCAGCCGACGTGCGAGCCGTCTTCGACTTTTATTGGCTCGAGCTGACGGAATGCCGACATTGTGGGGCTTTCGAAAGTGCTGTGGACGGGTTCGTATAAATATTCTCTCGGTCTCTCTCTCTCTCTCTCTCTCCTTCGTTTGTGTACTTTTTTATCATTATTTTTTAGTTTCCAAGTACTCTGCCGTCGACTTTGGGCAGTGCAAAATCCACATTTACCAAATTTGCTTGCCGCATTGAGCGGAATTCTGGAAGCGATCGATGGGAAAAATGGTCCGATTTTCGGTTTAGATTTTAGATTATCCGTTTTTATTTTTAGATCTCGACAAGCTTTGCTCGACTCGTCGAAGCGCCGGTCTGCCCTATCTCGTCGCGGCGTTGTGTTCGACGGATCCGGGATGTTCGGCTTTAGATTTGGCGATGGGAAAATTGATGGGATTTGAGGGACGGGAGTCGACGAGCAGGTCAATCTAAATAGAAATGTTATTCCTTTACCTCAGATTTGGCCTTGTCGTTCTTCAAAATCTAACGATATTGAGACCTTAATTTACAAAAAATTACAGAATCCACAGCCTCAACGTCCTCCGGTCGCTCTTCATGCACTCTGAACTTGGCGAACGCGTTTTGAAATACGCCGAAAAAGCCGTCAAGCTGGGAGTGGAAGGTGTGTTTTTGAACGTTAGAGAGGCCAACTCACGTTTTAGGCTGTTCGGCTCCAAATTGGAGCGAACGAAACGCTTCCGCCCAACTTGTCGCCTCGCTGAGAACGCGTCTTTTTGGAGTCGCCCGAGCGGCCAAAGTCGAGTTACACGTAGATGAGCGGAACACGCGATCGGCGTTTGAATTCTTTTCGAGGTAATTTTTGCACTTTTGGCGCTTGATTTTGTAAACTTTTTCAGATATCCCTCCCTCTACCCGTTCCTGTTCGACCACCTTTCCAAGCACACCTTCCACGACGAGTTTGGCCTATTTCCGGTGCTCGTCCTCCTCTCCCACCTCAACCCGAGTACAAACGCGTCGAACCCGTTCCCGCTTCACCCATTTGTGCCAAAAATCATGAAGGTGGCTTGAAAAACTTTAGAATTAGTTTTTTTAAATTTAGCTCTTGCTCACGCTGCGTTCCGAGAAGCTACGGAAATTGGCCGTTGCTGCCTTGGTGGCAATTTCAACGCGAGAGGTACCTAATTTTAGCAGGTTTATATTTCTGCTACTAACACTCGCCAAATATTTGCTATTTTGACTACTTTTAGGACCTCCTCTACTGCCTGGAAATCTTTAGCGGCCTCGACATTGCCCGGCTTCCACATAACGTCCTGGACTCGCTGTTTAATTTGGTTTGTTTCTTCAACAGCCTAATTTTTTTAGCTACTGACGATCGCGGAACGTCGCCCTCACGATTATCAGGACCCGCGGATGTACTTTCTTTTCAAGGCTCAGAATCGGGGAATTTTGGCGAAGGCTGTCGAAAACGGCGCGTATTTGGATTAGTAAGCTATTTTCCAAAAATTTTTTATGTTCTTAAAAATTTTAAAAATTCTTAAAGTTTTCTTCACCAAATTTTCCAACGTATTTTCCAAATAAATATTTTTTAGCAACGACTACGTGCTGAACCAATTCTTCCAACTGTGCCTTATGACGGGCATGCACGATCCCATGCGCAAATTTATCGAGAACAAGGAGCTGCTTGATAAGCTGACACTTGCGTTAAGGTATTCAACTGCTTTTTTTTGTTTTTAAAAATGATCTTAGACCACTGGCCCGCTTCGCCGTCGCCCAACAATTTCCGCCCAAAATTCTCAAAGAGCACCCCGCATTCCGGCGTGAGGTGTATCGCGAAATTTTGGTAAGTAAGGGCCGAAACCTTTTTTAGAAATTGATTTTAGAAGAAAAACTGTGTCACTTCTGCCGACTGGACGTTGTTTTTGTGCAGTGGGTAAGTTGTTGATAATTTTTCCGATAATCGAACTTTTTTTGGGTACTCTGAGGTGGCCATAATCAACGATTTCTCGATGGTGCTGGACTCGCTTGTTGGGAAAACGGAGAGCCACGACGCGGCCTACTACCCCACACAGCCAAATTTGCGAAAAGTAAGGGGCAATAAGTTTGCTGTTTTTTTTGTTGTTTCACGACATATTTTACAAAACAGGATACTAAAATGTCCGTTATAGCTGACCAGCCTAATTCTACGCCACTACGACAAGGTGAAGCAACCAGCGGTTGAAAAGATTACGACGGCGATACGGCAGGCGCTAAATGATACGACTGAGCGTGAATTTAGGTAAGAAAAACCAAAAGTTAAATGAAATGGTCGTTTTAGCCTGGTATTTGGTTAATTAGATTTTTTGTAAGTAACTCTTATTTTTGCACCGTATTAATTAATAAAATTTTTCCAAGCAGTTTAATTTGTTTTTTAAACTTTTTTTTATTGGAAATTAGCCTTAGCCGCTGCTCTTCTGAATTCTTCTAACAAATTCTGGCTTCGAGTTTTTATGTCTTGAGCGGTTTTACAGTCGATTAAGTTGTTTATTTTGCTTTGATCGCGTATTAAGTGAACAAATAGTTTGTAGGTAATTTCCGGCGCGGCTTTTCCAAGTTCTAATTCTTTTCCGAAAGTTGCTTTACAGTCCGGACACCGAAATGCTACTCCGCGAGCTGGCCATGCTTTTGAAGGACGAATGGACGCCTGCAGATGCGGATTGGATCAGAAATCGTTTAGCTGACGACACACCGGAAGTCCTCCCGGCTGCCCTTCGATTGTGTAAAAAACTGGAACCCAGGACGGCCCAGGGTCAGTTCTACGGTTTCTTGGAAAATCAATAATTCTTGCCTTCAGCCGAGATTTTCGCGCCCGTCTTCGCCCTGTTGCTCCAGTCTTCAGATGCGGCGGTTCGGGAAGAGGTAGGCTTTTTGTAGAACTTAAAAATTTCCATTTTTAGGCCAGTGTGGCCCTTGGCCATTTCGTCGACTCTAACGCAGCGCTGAACCCTGCGATCACTTGGCGGCTGTTTGCGGAAGAGTACGTGAATTAAAAAATTCGAATTTTCGACCCTTTTCAGCTATCCAAATTTACGAAATCAACTTGTCCCTGTTCAAGAAACTGCAGACGTTGAAGCGGATGAAAAAGCGGTAATTTTACGTTTTTTAAATTTTCGGTTAGCTACGTCCGTTATATTTAGTATTTTTTCCAGAAATTGTTCGACGCGTGTACGGTGAACGCTTACGCGGAAACGCAGCTATTTTCCGACTTCGCCGCCACCAAAAACGCACTCAAAATAGCCGACTCGTCGAAATTATCTGTTTGAAAAACGATGTGATTTAATAGAAATTCTTACGGTTCCGGTGTTGTTTTCATTTTTTATGTGTTTTAGTTGGTTTTTAGCAATTTTTACGGTTCCGGTGTTGTTGGTATTTTAAATATTTCTTGAGGGTTGTTGTGCTTGTTATCGATTTGTTAAGTTGTTAATAAAGGTAATTATGAAACATTCACAGTCTATGGTCTTGATCTACATTTATTGCGTTAGGCATTTTTCTCCAAATCTGCCATGAAAACCTTCAACAGGTCGTTGCTGCAAATCGTTTTTGGGTCGTATTTTATCTAAAAGTCGTTATTATACTTTTTAAAGTACCTTCAGTCGGAATTTCGCGTTGTAATAGTCTTCCAACAATTTGGGTTTGTTTGGAATTTCTGGCACTTTCTCCTCGCAAAAACGGCTCATCTCCCTCGATAGACATTTCGAGATTTTCATGCCCTGACTGAAAATGTAAAAGTATACTTAAAAATATAGAGCATGCATTATTAAATTACCCGATTAATTAAATTGTAAAATTATTAAACTCTTACTCGCACAAATTCTCCGGCATAATCTTCCGCTTCAGCTGCTTCAGGCATCTATTGAAGCAGATCTCGATCGCGTTGAATTTTAGGCACTTGTAAATGAGTTTATCTGCAAGTCGAGGTCCGATTAAAAATGTTTAAAAATCGGGATACGATTTGTCAACGGTCGAAAATCTGGGGTGCAGTGTACGGTAAACCAATCGTCCATGTATTTTTGCGAGCAATGACACTTCTTGGTGGCCAAGGGGAAATATCTAAAATTACACTTTATTAATATAGTTTATGGCTAAAATGAAAGTGATGAAAAGGCCTATTTTGGAAATATAAACAAAAAGAAAGAATCTGATGTTTTCAGTAAAACCTGCATGCAATTCCGCTCCGGAAACGTCATCTTTTTCCCATTACGTTTATAAAGCTTCTCCGCGGCTTCCGCCAAGCAAATTTGGCTCTGGTAAATTTTATGTTATTTTTCAACAAGTCAAAAACTACAAATGAGTCCTTTCGACAGTTCTCCTCCTTGACGACAGTTTCTTCTTTTTCGTAATTGAAGCAAATCTTCCGCCAAATTGGGGCAGATTTGTAACATTTCAGCAAATTGGTGTTGGCTTTGAATGAACTAAAGGTATGCATTTTTAATGCCGAGCTTTTTCACTTGCGTTTTTAAGGATTTGGGCCAATCTAAAGTTCTTGCCAGCCAAAACATCACAGCTGGATTCGAAACCGGCAATTTCACAGCGAATTCGATCCACCAGGATACTGTAAATGCCATTTTTCACGATTGCATACTTTTATAAGTATAGTTGTCCTAGAAATAAGTATAATTAATGGCGATTTGG